TTTATGGCAATAAAATTAGTGATTTAATTTGAAATTATTTATTCTGTCTGTTGGAAGGAAACTTTTTGGCAGCAAAAGGATTGATAGCAAAACGACAAGAGAGTTGAGCTTATTTGAATGATACAAATGATATTCTTATAGGTTCTGATAATTTTCGCATTTCCTTTACTCTAAGCTGAAATATTAATAAGTATAAGCCAACACTTTTAAAAAACATTTCACTCATTCCTGATTCTTCGCCATTTCTGAGTTTTTTTTCTTTTTTTGGCTCGTTACAACGTTCGACAACATGTGAGAATTTCTATTTACTACTTAAAAAAACGATAAAGGAATGTAAGTAAACTTACGGATTATTGACAGAATGTTTGTGATTCTTTTGAGCTATTTTAGCAAAATGTTCTCTTTTGGTTCCTAAAAAAAAGATAAACAAATGGATAGTGCTACTGATAATTCATAAAATAAGTATTTCTCACAACATTATATAGCATCAATGCATTTGAATTGGTTACAAAAAATTGTTAACTATACTGGCTTTGAAGCTTTTTGACAGCTTGCAAAGATAACAAGAAAAACAAAAAAAAAAAGAAAACTAACTTATTTTCATCAACTTCTCAGCAATAATTTCAAAATATTTTTTAGTTAAATTTATTGGCTATCAAATTCTATACCTATTTTTTATATTATTAAATTAGTTTCGCTTCATAAATTTGGAATTTTTCTACAACACGATTGCTGAACTATCGTAATTCATGTATTTCATTATTGAATTCAAATGCAATGATCGTTGAGAAAAAATGATTTCTAATAAATCAAAATTGACATTGGTAGCAAAATTGTTTGCCACAAAATGAAGTGGTATTTTTGAAAGGATCAAAAAATTTTGATTAATGAAATTAGCGACAAAAATTAAAATTTTAAGCAGCAAATTTTTTTCCTTTTTTTGTAGCAAAAATAAATAAATGATTGAACGAGAATTATTCATATCGATTTATAAATTTTTTCATCAAACTTATTTCGAATGAATTAAACTTAATTATGAATTAAACATTAAACTTATCCTAAAATATTTTGGTATATTCGGCATAAATACATGGTCATGCAAGATTATGTTTGTCAAAAAAATCATAAACAAATTGGGAGTATTTTGAAATTATCGATTTTTTCGATCATGAAATTAATTAAATTAAAAAAAAAAGGAATTTTCAAATATTCATACTTTTGTTGAAAAATTGGATTTTTTTTTTTTAAAAAAAGACAAAATTCCTTTTTTTTTCTTTTCTTTAGTGACCTTCAATCAAATAATGAATTTGAAATGTGTGTGTGTTTTTTTTCCAAAAAATTTTTTCATGTTTTTACAATATCTTTTACCAATAAAACATTTAAAATTTGAGGATGCATAAAATATTATCTCATATGTTGTATTTTCTATTATTTTGTACTATTTTTTAGGTTTTCAATTAATAACTTTTTCTTTTTTTTTTAGACTATGTTAGTTCAAGTGGTGATTTAAACGAAAACTATAAGTAACGATGAAAAAAAATAACTGCAGTTAATATAAAACTAATTGGTTTCAATTATCGATTTATATATTTGAAAATTTTTGTTTTTACTGCCATTTTTTATTAAATGACCTTTGTTCTTAGCTCAATGATAGCTTAAAATAACCCATAATATGATTCATTTCAAGTAAAAAATTTTCTTTAAATAGAATTTATAGATCAACTGAAAATGTGATTAAACAAAATTTTTATGTTGATATGCCAAGAAAATTTAATTATATGATTGATGTATCAGCTACTATTTATGCTACTTTATGCATACTCCAATCATTATTACCATTTTTCCCCTCTCACATTTCTTGTCTACGATTTTCCGATGTCACACTACTGTTCTTACAACAATAGTGGATGAAGTGACAGGTTCGAGGTCATCTTAGTGTGTCGCATAAAATAATGCGATCACGCGTTTGCTGTTATTTACTATTATATCCGATGATTCGTCGCAATTTTTGCTCCTTCACACTCCCGGAATTTATTTCATTATTTATTTATTTACCTAAAATTTGTAATGGAATGGAATAGAATGTAAATGGAACAAAAGAGATTAGAATTAAATGAAAATAATTGAATAGAAAATTTTCATATTTATTGTTTTATCATGTCATTTATTATCATTTGTTACGTGTATTATTACTATGTTTTATGCTTGCAAATTTATCGATTAAAAAAAAAATTGTTTTTAAACTTTTTTATTGATAAAAAGAAGAATTAAATGTGAAAAAGAGGCGGAATAGAAATGGAATTAATTTGAGCAAAATTGAATAGGAAAAATAAAATAGAATTTCTTTCTTTTTTTTTTTTTGAAAAAAGGAATG